GGGTACCCGGTGTCCCGCTGCCTCCCGGCCGTCCCCAGGGCCTCCTTAGCCGGCGGCGGCCCTGGTGCCTCCCAGCACGTCCCGCTGCTCTCCGGTGTCTCCGGCGGCCTCCCGCCATATCCCGCTGTCCCCTCCCAGTATGCCCCAGTGTCCCCCAGTACCTTCCCGTTTTTCCCAGGGGGCCGTGCTGTTTATGCCTCCAGCACCTCCCGTTGCATGTCGGTGCCTCCCACTGTGTCTTGCTGGTCCCCCCCCAGTGACTCCCAGAACATCCACCAAGTTCCCAATCCATACCAGTATGCCTTTAGTCCACCCCAGTGTGTCTGACTCCCAGTTCATCCCAGCACCTCTTGATAAGTTCTGTTGCCCCTTCAGTGACTCCCAGTCCATCCTAGTGCCTCTCAGCCCACCCCAGTGCCTCCCAGTATGTTCTACTATCCCCCCTCGTGCCTCCTAGTACATCTTACTGCCTTCCAGTAATACATCCCAGTCCAGTACATCCCCCAGAGTTTCTCAGTCCGTGCAGCCCACCTAAATGCTTCCCTGTAAGTCCTACTGCCTCATCCTAGTGCATGCCACTGCCTCTCGGTCCACCCCAGTGCTTCCCAGTATGTCCTACTGCTCCCTTCCACTGCCACCCAGCATGTCCAGGCAGCTCCAAGTGCCTGGTCCCTGCTCCACGGCTGTCACCCCGCTGCCCAGGGATGCCACGGCTGCCCCACAGCTGCACATGGGGCAGCTCCTGCACCACCCACAGCCCCGTTAAAGCCTTGAGTGAGGCCACGACCGCCGCTTCTCCAGTGCATGCCCAGCATGGCAAGGTCCGAAGGGCCATGGCTCTTCCCCATTCTGACCAAACCTCATTCTTGCTCACAGGCGGACGACTTCATCCGAGCAAACGCCTGCAATAAATTGACCGTCATTGCTGAGCAGATCCGGTACTTGCAGGAGCAGGCTCGGAAGGTGAGGATGCATCTCTGAGCTGGGCAGAAGGCTTGTTGCCTTGTGCTTGCGAGGGGAGGGAGATTGGCGTCTGTCTTAACTGCCAGACGTTTGGGAAGAGCTGTGGCCTGGATGTGAATCATGGCCAAGAGCCATGTAGAGAAGATACAGTGGTAAAATAAGTAGGGTTTATTGTCTGGTATCAGCTGGGGACAGGGGAGGGTTGTTTTTGGTGCTTTCCCTGAGTCCTGCACATCAGGGAGGACTTCTGTTAAGGTGGAGGAGCAAGAGTGGCTAGTCAAAAGCAGCTCCGGTGTCAGGAAGGATAGGGAGGTGACTCTGGTTTTGGGACAGATGACTTTTGTCACCATAGTGTGTGCGCTGTGCTCCTGGGAGGACTCAGCACAGTGGGGTGACAATGTGGCTCTGGCTGGATCCAAGCCCCTGGGAGAGATGAGCTGTTACCTGATGATGGGCTTGGCTTTCCAGTTTGTCCCAGCTCATTTGCTGGAGCAGGTGGCCCCGGCAGCAAGCCCAGCAGAGCTTGGCTGTCCTCTTCAATTCACACTTCACCCTTGGGGGTGAAATCTCAGAGCCTGAGTGGGAAAGGATCTGCCAGTCACTGCGACTGGCTCACTGCCATCAAGGCCACTACGTCATATAATCGTTAACTGGTGGAGCCGGAGCTCTGGAGCAGTCAGCTGGTGGAGCTGGGGAGATGAATTACCCTTTGTTTGCTGTTCCTTCACTTGGGGACTGCAGCAGGGAAGCCCCCAGGGTCCAGCAGCTGCGTGCAGAGACGAGGAACGAGTCTAGCATGTGGTGGGGTCAGGCACAGAGGTGAACCTGGGGCTGTGGTGAAGAGGCCCTTGATGCTCGGAGGTACCTCCACCTCCGTGGAGGGGTGCAGGAGCTCTGAGGTCCAGCTGACAGGGGAAACTTGGAGAAAGCTTTATCTCTTTGGAAAGCATTACTTCCTGGGGCAAGTAAAGATGTGCCATGTGAAGCCAGACATGTGCTGGGGAGGATGAGGCCTCGTGAGCAGTGTGTTGAGCGGTGTGTCAAGTGATGTATCTCAGGCTCTGGCTGAGAGGCAATAACATGTTGTTGTTTTATTTCAAGTGTGGAAATTTTAAATTTGGGGTTTTTTTTAGGTCTTGGATGAAGCTAACAGAGATGCTGATCTGCACCATGTGGCCTGCAACCTTGTGAAGAAGCCAGGAAACATTTACTACATGTACAGGCGGGAGAGTGGCCAGCGATACTTCTCCATCCTGTCTCCTAAGGTGGGTGGTTACAGCCCCCTGAGGAAGCAGAGAGGGGAAAAAAACACGTTTCTGGTGCTTGGGCACTTCTGAACCTCAGACAAAAGCACCAACTTAATGGGGGCATTTGTTGGCACCTACTCAGTTGGCATTTGTCCTTGGTCTGAGTTACTCTGCTGGTGTAAGAGCCATCTTATGAAGTTTCCTTAGCTCTTGGTGGATGGTGAGCAAGAAGACCTTTGGTACATGGACCTGAATTCTGCCTTTCAGTCCCTGCAGTTCACTCTCTGGAAGAACTGCAAACATGCCCTGGGCCTTCCCTGTCTGGTGTGGCTGTCTGGCAGTACAGTCTCCTTGGGTGCTTCAGCCCAGGGATTGAGTTTGCAGCTTGGTAGGGGTGGTCTTGGAGGTATCCTCCTTCCAGGCCACCTGTTTTCTTACACGCAGGCTGAAGGCTTCAGAGCAAAGCACCGAGCATGTAGAGGAGCTCTGTACAGGTCAAGGAGATCTTGTATCCCCAAGCCTCCCTGCGTCAGCAGCACTGTAGCTTGACCCGGTCATAGACTCAGGGTAGTTGAGCCTATTTGTAGGTTAGGAAGTGGGATGGTCACGTAGTTGGGGCTGCTTCAAAGGTGGTAGGGTTACCCAGCATGGGCAGAGGTTGGGCTGAGGGACAGCATAGCCCAGCTCCAAGGGAAACTGAGCAGCGATGTGAATCTCTCCTTTCTCCTCCAGGAATGGGGGACCAGTCCCCATGAATTTCTCGGTGCCTATAAGCTCCAGCATGACATGTCCTGGACGCCATTTGAGGACATTGAGAGACGGGATGCTGAAATAAACATCCTGGACAAGCTGCTGAGCCGGCAGGCAGCGCTGCCCCCATGTACAGAGCCCAACTTCCAGGGCCTGACCAAGTGACACAAGTGACCATACGGGACATCTTGAGCAGAGTGCCAGCGTGAGGACACGCAGTCCCTGCATGCTGCCAAAGGCAGGGCAAGGAAAGAGACCAAGAAACAAAAATGCTGATGCCGCCAGTACTTGCTCTGTGCTTTAATGAGACTAATTCTACATTTGGTCTTACTGGATTTTCTAGTAATTGAGTAATTTATTTCTTTGACTTATGCCAAGCTGTAGCAAGAGGCAGATAATATCAGGTGGAGTCAATTCCAAGAGAGCTTGGGGCAAAAAGCAAAAATGCTTGGGGCAGATGTGATAATGCTATAAAATACGTCCTACCTGTCTGGCTCTGGTGTACCTCACTGTGACTACCTGCGGCAGGTAATGATTTCAGGGCTGGATTTTGCCCCTTGTTAAAATGTACATATTTAGCTCTGTGGCCTGGGAAGAGTGGTCAAAACCCTGCGCAGAAGGGTCTGTTGTGACCAGAGTCTGTTGGTCTCTGTCCCAGCTGGTCCAAATCCCTGAGTCTGGCCCACAAGGTGACCTGGAGCTCTTCTCTGGGAAGGGTGTCCTCAAAAGTGCCATGCAGGCTTCAGGTGCTCTTCAAAAGGTGGGTGTTTCACAGTCCTCATGTGCTCCCCTTGGCTTCGAGTGGTTGATCTGTGTTTTGGGTTTGTGTGGCAGGGTTTTTGGTAGCTTCATGGTGCTTTGTTACCAGCTGGGCTTAAACCATGACAGCCTGTGAGGGTGAGAATGGAATGTGCAGGGACACTGTGCCAGAGCAGTGAAGAAAATAAATCAGTCTTGATCTCGGATGTACCTCCGAGACAGGCCCCGTGTCCTGTCTGCATGGTAAGCATCCCTTTGGCTTTACCAGGGAGACTTGGTGGCATGTGGGGCTGGTAGGACATCTCCAGCCTTTTTCCGCCAAGAACTGGGGAGAGGCAAAGATCAGAGCTGCTGAAGAGATGTCCTCCCTCTGCCCAGTTGCACAGGGCTCCTCCAGGAGCTCGCCTGCTCCTCTGTGAGGAGCCAAGGTGGAAACGTACTGATGGAGAAGGAGATGTCCAGGTTGGATCCCAGCATGTAACGTCAGATCTGGTTGGATCCTCCCGTGACTTGTTCACCTCCCTGAGATGACAAGGTCGTGACCTTATGTGCTGCTCAAGGCATTGCACATGCACACTGGCCTTAGCTCTTCCGCTGGTGGCGTGTGAGGGTTGGGGACCATTTGAGGAAAGGGAATTGGGACCCCAGGGTCTGGGTCCACCAAGGGTGGAGGTGGTGCTTCTTGGGGGAGCACAAACACAAGTGCACTTGCGTTTGGGCTCCAAGAAGCACCACCTCCACCTCCATTTGCGGTTGGGTTCTCCTGACTTCCAAGGTGTTGGTGGAAGACTGGTGTCCTCTGTTCCCCACGGCATGGCCTTGGGTGCAGCGGTTACTCACCTTCCTGGGGGGCTTGCTTGTTCCAGGCAGTCACTCAGCTTCAAGTGACCTTCCCAGGCATTGCCTCTCCTCTCCTTACCGCTGCTGAGGAAGACACCGCTGCCTTCAGCTCTGCTGGGTGATGCCTGACACAATTCAGGGCTAAGTCTGTGTGTCAGACTTGGATTGGTTCATGCATATGCTCTCAAAATAATCTCTTTAACTCCTCTACACTTCCTTGTTCCCTTTCTAGCATTGATTTGTTCATCTTACACCAAGTCCCCAGAGCATCCTGCTCCTCCTGGCCCTCACCTGCAGCTGGGAGAGGTTTGGGTGCCCCACCGGAGTCCTGCAGAGGAGGCTGCTGCAGCACCGTGTTCTCCCAGGTCACCCCTGACTCATGCCTCTCCATCTCAATGCCTGAATTTACTGCTTCAGGTTAGGTGCTGCAGTGACTCTGCCAAGGGGTGGGAGGACCTCTTTGCATCCACAAGAGACCCTTGGGGACCAGCGCCATCACTGGGTCTTGCCATCGCTGCCGTTTATTCCCCCATCGGCAGGGCACAGCCTCTCCTCCAGCCTCCAGTCTCCCTCTCTTCTTGTCCCCACACCCCTGGCACACCCTGGGATTTGCCTTGAGAGATGCTCGAGGCTGCTGGCAGCACCGATTCCCCATGGGAAGAGCCATTCCCTGCCAGGATCACAGAGGGATAGGAGGTTTGAGACAGCTCCCTGGCAGCCTAGGACTTGTTTTGTCCTAGATTTTCTTCTCCCAGCTCTGCCAGGTGCAGTTGCTCATCCCAAACCCAACATGGTTGAACCTGTGGTTGGCAGAAACCCGGTCCCCGGAGTCAATGCAGGACATTTCAATCATCTTTTCCCAGCTCACCCTCCCTCACTTGGAGCACCAAGGGCAGATTAAAAGCAATGTATTATTATTATTATTATTATTATTATTACACCAGGGTATAATTCATTCCTTATCGAGTCACAAGTGTCTAATTTGATGGTTTTTTTCCCTGCTTGTTTCATCGCCCCAGGTCTTATTTTACTGTGTATTATTAAATCTTAACTTGGAAGGGAGAAAGTTAATTACTGCATGGGCTTTGCCATGGTGCTAATTACAGCAACATCTGAGATCTTCACATGTGTTGATTTATGCTCCTCTGGGAAGAGGGGATTCCTGCCCCAGTTTTATTACTGTTTCCCATCATTAAAATCTGTACAATGACATGCGCAAGGGGATGGGGGTGATGCTTGTAGACCTCCATAGCTTGTGATTTTGCGCGCTGGCCTTTGGTGGGATTTCACGCATGCTTTCCTACATTTCCAACAAATGCCCCTGACCCTCTGTCCCCCGTAACTCGCTGGTGTTCTGCAGTTCCTCTGGGCGCTGGCAAGTCTTCTTGGATTTGCCTCAAAAGAGCAAAACCACTATGGCCATAGCTTTGTTTGAAAATAGAACGTATCCAGAGGCAAGACATGGAGATGGTGGGCTCGTGCTCTCTGCACTGCGGGAAGCGGGGATGCGGCTGCCGAATGATCCTGCTGTGGAGCAAGGAGGTGATGCTGGGAAGGGAGAACTGTTCCCCCGAAACAGCTCACCCAACGTTGCCATCTTGGCTGGGTTTTGATCTAATTAAACCCAAAGAGCTGCGGTGATGTCGGAAATACTGGAAGGTGCTCCTGCAGAGCCAAGCAACCCATCCTGTGGAAAGCCGGCAAGTATGGAGCTGGTGGCAGAAAGATGAGCTGGAGTTTCCTGCAATGCCTGCAGTGAGGATGAGTTTCTGGAGAACCGAGGAGATGCTACTTGGCAGAGGACTCCTCGAGTCCCTCCAGGTTCATGATCTCATCCGCTCGGCTCAGCCTCTACTGAGCTGTTGCCTTTATGGGTTTTTGGCTTGACGGGGCAAGGATTTAATCCAAAAATCAGCTGGGAAGAGTCAGCGGGATGCTGTGCTGGAGGGCAGAGGTTGTCCACAGATGAGGTATGGGCCGCATCTCGCTCCTACGTGTTTTTCAAGCCTTTCATTTAGATGAGTGTGTGCCCTCTGCTTTGCTCAGAGGAACAAGCGGGTAGGTAAGGAGTGAACAAGGCAGAACCAGAGGTTGCAGGCTCACAGCTGCTGTTCCAGCTGCAGTATGTAACACATTTCCCAGATAAAAAGGTTAAAAATCAGCTGTCTCCTGCAAGACTTCATTTCCATTCACAATTTCATCTTGAAAATTCATTTTGAAAATACTCCTCTCCCTTTGCTCTTTTGTGAGCACTCAGGGCAGCAGTGAACGTGGTCTGAAGGAAATGGCTTTGCTCTGAAATCTCCATGGATGGACAATCTTGGCAGGAGAAGACACAGAGGGGCTTCTGACACCATTAATGTTGGGCAGAGCGGTTTTTGCTCCATCTTTGAACATGCAGCTAAACCAGGGCTCACTTAAAAGGCCCAGCAGAAAGATGCTCTTAACGTCTGATCCTCTCCTGGGTGCTCCCCAGAGCTGACGTTTGCTGACTCTTAGGGCTGCCATGAGCCTTCTTGTTGTCTTCTGGTCCTGAGAGATGGATTTATTAACGGCTTGATGGCACGAACGATAACTGAGTGAGAGAAAACATCTCTCAGACATGCTAAAATTGCAGGACGCACTGAACCAGGGCCAAGCACTTGCAGACAAAATTAAAAACTATATAGAGTTTTTTTTTTTCAGCCTTTTCAGGTGGTTTTCAGCTGCCCACAGCAGGGAGTTTTAACCACGGGCTTTCTGCTGCTTCCATATCACCTTCTTGAGCCGCGCTGCAAGACCGGCAGGTCTTCCTGGCTTTTAAAAATTGAATTAACTCTAAAAAAAAAGTTTTCTGTTTCAGGCCAGATTTTGGCTCCTGCTTCTCAAATTGGCAGCACCTGGAGATTTTCTTGTGCTCTTGTTCCTGAAGGGTAGTGTTTCCTTTTATTTGAGGGGGACTTGGGGGTATTTGGTTATAACCCCCTGGGAATATCCCCTGCACCATGGGGTCGTCTCCCGGCCAGGGAGAATTCAGTAAAAGCCCTGCCGGGATGGCAGCACTAATTAGCTCATTATTGGTGATAAACCCCTGATCCGTAATCCCCCAGCGTTAGGGGACGTGCAGCGGATCTAGCAAGGTTAATAAAATTTGGGGATGGATTTTGTTTTCCCCTTAGGAGACAAGGGGACCTGGGACAAACTCGCAGGGAAGCACCCACGCAGCATTGCGACCCGACGGCCCCTGACGGCTGGGCGATGATTTAATTCTTAATTAGGCCCTTTCTTTTGGGCACTGAAGCCTGGATCTCAACAAGGGGAGTTGTAGCTCTTTGGCCCTTTTTGTTTCAGCTTCAGCTCCAGGCAGGAAAAGAAAAGGAAGAAAAAATTGAGGGAATTTGGAAACGGCGATGCAGGGGTGCACGTGCCACATGGAGGGGAGACTTTGTGCCCTCCGTGTGCTCCTGTGGCCCTTGGGGGCATGCAGGCGGGTGCAGGGGCGGGGGGGGGGGGGGGG